ATTCGGGGCGCACGGCCTCCGCCCCCCGGGACCGCCGTCGCCCTCCCGGCACGGGTTTGCGCATGTTCCTTTCGACGGCAGCACGACGCCCCCCCCCCAGCCCCAGCCCGGGAAAAGGGCAATTTGGCCCCCCTGCAGGAGGAATCCTGAGCGTGGCCACCAAAACTGGCTTTTAGAGTCTTTATAGAAAATTTAAGAACTCTCGAGGACTTAAGGAACTTGCCAGCACCTCCGTTGTCCTGTGTGTAACCGGTTCCAACAGGGGCCTTTAACTTGAGGACTCTACGAATCGATTTTTTTTTTTTTTTTTTTTTTTGAGTTGGAGTCTCACTCTGTCGCCCAGACTGGAGTGCAGTGGCCGCTCCCGGCCACCGCAGCCTCGACCCACTGGGCTCCAGCGATCCTTCCGCCTCAGCCTTCCGAGTAGCCGGAATCCCAGGCACGCGCTACCATGCCCGGCTGATTTTTTGATTTATTGTAGGGATGAGGTCTCGCCAAGTTGCCCAGGTGGGCCTCGAACCCAACGAATCGATTTTTAACTGTGCTCCAGCCTTCCTTTTTCCCCTCCGTCTCACTCATCCTCTGCGCCCCCTTTCCACCCTGTGTTCCTCGGGTCCCTAGAGATGAGACTTGTCCAGCAAGTGACATATTCAGTGCCTAGGCAGGTGGAGGAGTGTCTTGCTAGGACAGCATTTTCCATCGTTGTTCCACTGTTAGTTTACCTAGGAAGGAAGTCTTAACTCTGCACTTTGAAGTCCGCATTTGAATTTATGGCAAATGTTGCTAATACACCCTCTTGGTTGTTTTTACAGTAATTGACCCAGGACTCATTTTCAGGAAAACAGCTTCCTTCAAAATGGTAAAATGATGAAATGAGGAATTTGAACCCTTTTTTCCTCCGGATGGGGATCTTCAGAGGATGAAAAAGAGCGATTTATCCAAGCTATGTGGTAAAATAGGGAATTTGAAGAAGATGGAAATGTTTACGTTTTTGTTGATGTGTATCTTTCTGCCCATCATAAGAGGGCACAGTCTCTTCACCTGTGAACCAATTACAGTTCCCAGATGTATGAAAATGGCCTACAACATGACATTTTTCCCTAATCTGATGGGTCATTATGATCAGGGTATTGCTGCTGTGGAAATGGAGGTGAGTAGTGCTTCGTACCTTTATTGAGAAATAATTTATGCTCTGTTCTAGTATAACCTGTAAATGTGGCTTTTGTTTTTAAATACAGCAGGGGATTTCTTCAAGTTGTGTGCAAGTCATATTTTGAAAAATCTTTTTGAAAATTAAATCCCCCCTACTGACTTACGTTTTGTGTCTGCTTGGGACCCTGTTTCGTGGATTTGCTTAAGATGGGGTTCGTTTTATAATGAAGTATGGTTACAAATTATTTCTAAATATCTTGTACCTGGAAGATATTTTGCTTCCTAAAGCAAGTATGATAGTTCCTCTAAAAATGCAACTTCTGAGGGTTTTTAGTTCACTGAACACGTAATCTATATTGCCTAGACTAAAAGTGAAGAAATCTACAAGTTTTTATAAGTAGTTGTAATGTTCGCTTGGTGCGGTTTTTCTGAAGCAAATAAATTATTCAAGTATTTGGGGGCTATAGACTTTTTGCTAAAAAGTGACTTTGTTTTCTAAGTATAGCACTTAAATATTCTTTATAAGATACTTATTAAAAGAAACCACTTGTCAGGGGTGGAGTAGAGTGACACTAAAGATTGCCTTAGGTGTCTCAGTTACCTGCCTCTGGTTTAGAGATATGCAAATTTCTTGGGAGGTGTGGGAAGAAAGAGCTACCTGTGAAGACAGGAGCCTGCCTTCCCATACAGATCTGTTAGGTTGATAAGACTCTTGAAGGAAAGAAGACCTATGCGTTGTTTTGTATTTTTTCTCCAGAAAAACTTTCTGAGGATGGTAAAGGCTCTTTTCCCCTCAGATTGTTGCTAAGAGATGAAACCCCCCACAGATGTAATTTAGATTATATTTTTAAAACTGATTAGATTTGATTTTGCAGCTTTGAAAGTCTTCCATTGTTGTTCAATTGAATAGTTGACTGACTACCTCATTGTGGATTCATGTCTAGAATAGGAAAGCTTTTAAATATTAAGTAGATATAATTTAAAAGGATATTGCAAATTATATTACTATCTTTCTGTGGTTTTTCAGACCAGCAAGATGTTCTTTTGTAATACTGATCAAATGGCACACTAAGGTTTTTATTGATTAATCAGAACCCTTTTGATAGTTTAAACTGATTAAAATATACAGTGGGAATACCATCAAGCAATAATTAATTAGCTTTTACTCTGATGATAATATATGTTTCATAATTCAAGTCTTAATAATGTTCTTAAAATTTTTTCCTTTCTACTGATTTCCTTTCTATGTCATAGCTACATCCATTTTAAGTTTGAATGCTAACAGTGACCCTATAAATTCATATCATTCAGTAGACTTGAGTTTCTTATCATAGAGTGTCATTATCAAGATCGGGGAGAGATGCATCATCCTGTTACATAATTATATATGGTGTGTGTGTATATATATATATATATAATATAGAACTATAATTATAAGATGGTAACAACCAACTTTGCTCTACACACGTCTCTTTAAGACCAATTATTTCTGGCTAAAAAAAGTTATTTTTTAATTTACCTAGTTTCTTTCTGAGATAGTTTTGTGTCTGGATATTATCAAAAAGAATTTTTGTTCTCACCTCGTTTATTTGATTGCTCACATGACCAGTCTCTGCAATATAAATCTTCCTCATATACTGAGCTTTCTCGTAGCCTTTACTAACGACATTTTTGTCCTATAAATCATAGTTCAGTAGGTTTAAGTATACAAAAGAAGAAAGCCATCCAGCACTCTCTTAATACCAACATTAGCCTAAGTGTACCAAAGGAGAAAGGGAAGGGAAATTGGAAAGACAAAAAATAATATCAACCTGAGTCAGACTTGTATTCCCTAGACATATTTTTAGTCTGTAGTATGTATTGTGCTTCTCCTACTGCCTTGTGTCCTTGGCTAGCAGCATTCTCTTTAGTTCCTGTATTGAATGTCCAAAATTGTATAACTTGAGAATTGTGACCCGAAAGGTCATGCAGTGCTTCTTAACCACTTTTGTGCCCTTAACTCATTCTCAGAATAAGAGAATGTTTTAAAATTTAAGTAAAATGAGTAGGATTACAAAGGAAGCCAATTATATTGAAGTATACTACAAGAGGGGATCAAAAAAACCCCGAAATTTATTTATAAAAATTGTGTATTTATTCTTACATGTTTAAACTTGTTGCCTTCAAAGTACTCTCTGTTTGATACAATACACCTATAGAGATGCTTTTTCCACTGCTAAAAACAGTTTTTGAATTCATCCATTTTGATGCCTTTTAGTGCTTCTGCTGTGTTTTTGTTTCACCTCTTCCAGGTTGGCAAATGTTTCCCTTTGAAGACTTTTTTCATCTGGGGAAACAAAAAAGAAAGTCACTTGGGGTCAGAACAGGTGAATAGGGAGGTTGGGGCCTGGGGTTCCTGCTGTTTTTGGTCAAAAATTGCTGAACACTCAGTGTAGTGTGGGCAAGTGCACGTATAAATCAATCATCATGAAATGGGCAAATGCATTGAAAGAATCTCCAAAATAATTTTGCTGAAGCCAAATGTAGCCTCTCACAACAATGCTAACTGGTATGCTGATGCTAATGGGTTACTAGAACACTTACCTAGCAGGGGAAGCCTATACTATGATGGGCCCCCCCTCTAAAAAATACTCCAAATTTTTTTGAGGGGGGGTTCCCCCTCATATATTAGGTAAATAATCCCTGAAGGCTAAAAAAAAAAAATCCCTGAGCCCTTCATTATACAGGTAAAGAAACTGAAACCCAGAGAAATTGTGATTTGTCCAAGGTTTGATTACTGTGATCTCACTTAGTCCTCTCTGTCTACATGGACCAAGTCTTTAACAGTTTTTTTTTTTAAAGGTCTTTGAGCTTATTGGATAAACACAATAATATCTTATATGATTTGGAATGCAGTGTATAAATTTCAGTCTTTGCTACTTCTTTGCAAAGTTGATTCAGATAAAAATTAAAGTGGGTGGGTTTTTTTAATCCTCTATTTAGCTCTACTGCTTCCCCCCCCAACACACACACACCCTCCCCCCCCATCAGTGCCTTGAATACAAGGTCTTGTTAAACCAAAAGTAAAGTCTATAACCTTCAGTCTCTCTCCTCTGGTGGTGACAAAGTGATTTTGTTAAAATGCAAATCCATGCAGTTCACTTTGGGGTTAAAAGTCTTCACCATTTCCTTAAAGCCGGAGAAATAAAGACCTGATTCTAGAGTGGCACCCAAGGCTCTTTATGTAGAACTCTGCATTGCTGTCCAGCCTCCCATGTGTCCCTTCCCACACTGCACACTCGGTTTCAGCCAGCTGACCTATTTGTAGAACTCGGATTGTATTACTCTCTCCTGGCTTGTGGCTTTGCACATGTAGTATCCTCTGGTGGGGCCTCTACCTACCTACCTTTCTTTACCCACTCAATTCCTTTAGGTCTCAGTTAAAAAAGTAGCTTTGTTTTTAGTGGGGCTTTCTTTCCCCTTTCTCCCAAGTATATTTAACAATTTGCACTCAGAGACATCTCATGGACCACCTACCAGCAACTCAGTCACACTTTTTTACAAAATAGTGAAAAATGAATCACTTCATATTAAATAGTGTAGTGTTGGAACAAATCACTGTATTGTAGTGATATTTGGCTTATAATGGAATTGTGGACATTGAGGAACTTATGGCCAAAAAAACAATCAAAAATTTATATCTTATACTTTTCTGACGTGGTAATATGTGAAACAGTCACCAACATGCTTTGCAAGTTCATTGATACATGTTGTGCAATAGTAATTTATTTGACATCTTCCACCTGGTGTTTTTTTACTTGAGCAGACAATGCAGTCTCAGTTTCTTCCTCCCACATTAATAATATATAATTTATTGTCCAGTGTGTTATTCGAAGACTATGTGGAAAGATGTACTCATGATTCCTAAAAACCACGAAGATGAGTCTAAATCTAACTCATCTTCACGCTGCTTATAACTCTTTTTGTCTTTTCATTTTGCCATTGTTCTGTAGACTAAATAAATGGATTAAAAATTTCTAATTGTAAATTATGAAATCATGAAATGAAATTTATCAAAGTAATTTTACTTTTCCTACTTAGTGTAGGTAGATATATTTGATCTGTGCTGCTCGATACTTCAATATGATCTGCCTTCAGCTTCAGAAATGTCTTTCTTTTAAGGCTACAGTAACTTGTTTATCATTTCAAGTTATGCCATATGATACAAAGGGTCTACCCACAACTGTCTTTCTTATACAAATGCTCTTTATGGCTACCTTCTGTTACAAAGAAGTGTTGGCACCACTGTGAAAGCATTTTCCACATTCTCTTGCTACACAACCAAGCTGATTTTTTAAATGTACATCTCAGTATATATTCTATCTCTTTGTTGCTTTTTCGTGCAGTTTGAATGAAACTTCAAGGAAACATACATTTTTGAAAAATTCACACTTGCATAAGTTTGTCCTGTATAATCACCAGAAGTCTCTTTATGTTTCCTGAGAGGGGACATCTGAGTGGTTTGCTAGATTTACAATGTCTTCTCAGAGGGGACATCTGAGTGCAAAGGATTAATCAGATCACTTTCTACACTCTTACAGAACTTAATATATACAATTGTTCTTATACTGTATTACAGTTATTTATAATCATTGCTGTATTATAATTATGTGTGTGCCACCACAACTGGCTAATTTTTTTTATTTTTTATTTTTTATTTTTTTGTGGTGATGAGTCCTTGCTCGGTTGCCCAGGCTGGTCTCAAACTCCTGGGCTCAAGCCATCAAGCTTTGACGCCCCAAAGTGCTGGTATTACAGGTGCGAGCACCGTGCCTGGCCCTAGTTGTACTTTCTTTTTTTTTTTTGAGTTGGAGTCTCACTCTGTCACCCAGACTGGAGTGCAGTGGCCTCTTCCAGCCACCGCAGCCTCGACCTGCTGGGCTCCGGCGATCCTTCCGCCTCAGCCTTCCAAGTAACTGGAACTACAGGCGCATGCTACCATGCCCAGCTCATTTTGAT